GACGTCCAAGCATAGGTCACAACTTTCACCATCATCCATTTTCGGAGCTGGTCGGTGTATGTACTGACAGTACTGTTATCACGGGCACTGAAGCACCCAGAAGGACAGATTTGCCAATCAAAGTCATCCTGCTTGCACTCAACATTATGAAATCCGTGGTCTTGTCGTCTTCTATCAATCAAAACCATCCTGTTTTGCATTTCACACTGTGCAAGCCGTACAAAGCCATCCTGTTTTGCACTTCAGTGTGCTAGCCGTGGTCTTGACGTCTTCTATCAAGTAGGCAAGATTTACCATTCGACGTTTTGCACTTCACAAATCACCGAATAACATGTATCTTCCTGCATGGAAGACTCTAGGTGTCTATATCCACTTCTCTCTGTCCTATGATTTCGAATAGACTGGCTCCCCTCCACCAACTCTCCATTCTCAAGTCCATATCATGCATTGTAGAGTTGTCAGAAACTTTCCTTCGAGGGGACTCTCCAAAGTTTTCACAGTTCCCAGGTTGTACAGTCTCCACAAATGGGATCGCTAACAACAGGCCTCGCTCGGTATACACCCAATGAACTGTCGAAATAGCATTCAAGTGTATAACGATTTCGGGCAAAAGCAATTCCCATCGTGTGACCGGCGGTATGTACAAGGCCTGAGTACATATTCACCGCGGCATGCTGATCCACGATTACTTACGATCCAACTTCATGTTCTCGAGCTGTAGAGAACAACCTGAACTGAGGCAATGTTTCACGACTCGCTCCACCTTAAAGCCTTGCTTCCTATTGTCATTGCCATTGTAGCACGCGTGCAGCCCAGCCCATAAGGGCCATGCGGACTTGATGTCATCCCCACCTTCCTCTAGTATGTCACTGGCAGTTTTTTGTGAGTGCAGCACATCGTTGCAATGTCTTAGCAACACAAAACGAGCGTTCCGCTCGTTATAGGACTGAACCCTTTCCTTTCATATGTCAAGAGCTGGTAAGGTTTTGCACGTTGTATCGAATCAACCAACTGTTGAAATGCTTGTTTGTTTCTTTGTTTCTTTGTTTCTTTTTTTTTTTTTTTAACGCACCAGTTGGTGCTAGTGGTGCTGGAGAAACAGAATAAAATAGTTCCCACTTCCGTGTTTTACCTTCCCCCGAATACAACGTACAGTCGTTACAGCCAAATCTACGGCATCTTTCAGTCTTGAGACAAGTATAACGACCCTACGTTGTATTCGGGGGAAGAAGGTATTTTGCACGTTGTATCGAATCAACCGACTGTTGAAATGTACTTGGAGAAACAGAATAAAATAGTTCCCACTTCCGTGTTTTACCTTCTTCCCCCGAATACAACGAAGTCATTACAGCTAAATCTACGTCATCTTTCAGTCTGGATACAAGCACAGTGAACGTACGTTGTATTCGGGGGAAGAAGGTAGGACCAGTTAGTTCAACGGCAATATCTCCAGGCCGTCGCTTCATTTTTGAGAAATTAAAAGAAAGGCACAAGCAAATAAGCAATTCAAACAGCAATAAACCAGACAGGGAGATCTCACAGAAGACCAGCCGTAATTGAGCCAAAGACTACCCTTTTTGACTAATGATTCAATCTTCTCATAGTAAAGCAAAGAATTACAATCCACCATCGTCTGCGGTCCTTGCTTATCGATTGGAAGTGGACCCTAATTCTTTGCTTTGCTATGTAAAGACTGAATAATTAGTGGCAACCACTGGTCGACTTTTCCGCTTTTCTCCACACTTTAGCATCTACTTTTTAGTTTCAAGTTCCTCTCCGATATAGTAAGCAGCAGATTGTCAGCCTGGGAGACTACTACAATGCTGATCCACAACAACAACACGTAGCATCTACTTTTTACTTTGAAGACCCTCTCCAATATAGTAGCGACAGATTGTCAGCCTGCAAGAGCTTCAGTGTTTTATCCACCATAAAGAGAATATACCAAAACCAAAAACAAACCAACAAAGATAGTCCATGGGCACTGTCACACATGCATGTGTGGATGTGTCGACGTGTGTGGGTGTTCCAATGTATGCCCATGCTTGTGCACATGATTTCCTTAAACCACCAGTACTAGGCCCAGCTATCGGCCGCGGAAAAAAAAGGAGAAACATTTCTAATCAGATGAATTTGGGCGCTCCTGTAGTAGATCCTGGCGGGTTAACGGGCAAGACTCAAGGAAGTACTGGTGGTTTAAGGCGCTCGTTATGTTTTCCAAGCACCAACTTCCAAGCTGTATAAAAAATATATATTGTTTTCTAACGTTGAGCTTCATTCTTTTTCCTTGGTCAGCCGGGGTGTGACCGTGTTTGTGTGCATGTGCTTTCCCTTCAGGCGTTCGTTTATTGTTTTCCCGGGGCCAACTTCAAGCCGGGGACCTTTCCTCGGCCAGCACAGACAGAACCCTCCGTACCAGACAAAAATGTGGGTTGTGTACATGGGGCCCTTTGAACGAGAGGGGTGCACCTATGGTGCCAGGTACTGAACAGCAGATGATCCATTGAGAACTTTTTCGATTGACAAAGGGAAACTCAGCATACCCTACACCCAATTCCACACGCCAACTGAGGGCACACTCACACGGGGACCTATATTCACGAAATTCCAAAAACAAAGGGGAAAAGGCCAGTCCCACGGATCTACGAAATTCGCAAATGTACTGGAGGCGATTGCAAATGCCCCTTCCCAAATGTACTATTCCTGTGTCCATTTGTCAGCGGCCTGGGCGACTGCAAATGCCCCTTCCCAAATGTACTATTCCTGTG